GCGTATCTAGGTATTCAGGGGCCCCAAGGAAAGCATAGAATTTGCGCCCACTGTCACTACATATTAACTTAGGGATGTTGTTAATTGTTTTAGCGGGTGTTCTCAAAACAGCGCCCCTGTAGATGGTGCCCATCGCACGTGCCATGTCTCTGCCACATCGTATATACGCCTCTACCATCAATAAAGTACGTCAATTTTCTTGCAGCAGCGAACAATTTTAGACCACGCGTTATTGTACTTTTAAATAAATATAATAATAATAATAATAATAATAATAATAATAATAATAATAATAATAATAATAATAATAATGTTACCTAGTAAATAGTAGTTAGTGTGCAAAGCAGATTGTGTATAATTGATCATGTATACTAACTCATGTATTGAATAAGTTTATTATGTTTAGTTTCGGATTTATATTTTTTAAATACATATTTTCATTATTCATTAATTAACTAGTAATGTATTTATCAACACTTAAATGAAGATCACTTCACGAATCCTCTGCGCTTTCTTTTATAACCACACAGCACGCGCTTACGTCTTGGAATTCCCGTTCCCTTTGCGGTCGCTGAAGGGTTCCGAAAAGGTCGGAGTCTGCGAGGGCAGTCGAACGCGCGACCCTTCCACGGGCTGCAATGCTGTTTCATCTGCGTACAGACTCGCGAATAATGTGGATAATTTTACGCTATTTTTGTCAATCAAATCCACTCAAGTGTAAAAATTTTAAAACCGTGTTTTATTAACTGTGAAGATCGGTGAAATTATAAAAGAATCAATTTATTTCTTTGAACGGATTTCGCAAATAATCGTCCCCTACACATTTTTAATCCCTGGAACTAGGTTTGCGTAAACTCCAGAGGCGGTTCGTGGTATAATTTGTAAGTGATTGCAACCACGCAACAAACGTATCCAACGCGAAGCCCAAAACAAGATAATAGCGCACGACAGCGCGCATTAGCCGGTTTGAGGTTGGAGGCGAACTGCACACGGCGTTCGTCGTATACCTCAGCACGTCTCGGCACGCCGAGGCATGCTGGGGAAGAGTGCGCAAGAAAATGAGTGAGAATGAAACCAAAGGGTCAGTTTGCAGACACGTCCACAAACCTCCCCGGCACGAACGCCACAGCGGGAAGCTTTAAGCGAATCGCCGCCCAAAGAATCAAAGTGGCTATTGCGGAAATAATAATTGACAGCGGGTTTATTTTAAATAACGTGTGAATGAATTTCAATTCAATTGGAAGGCATACGCGCCACGATTATATAAACCTGCAGCAAATTCAGAAATCGCCTCAGAGATACGTTGCAGCGACGTCTCGGCTCTCTTCAAGGAAAACCTCTATTTTGCTCGCAAATACAAAACCTTCGGGAAAACGTCGAATATTTTGCCGATACAAATAGCCAGAAAATATTGCTATCTTTTGCAAAGGCCTCACATTATACGCTTTTCGGGATCCCGTGTCAGCAAGGTTATCGTTCCTAGCAGCGTGAGAAGTACGAGAACGAAAGATTCACAAACTGCATTACTTATTGTAAATACATATTTTGGACAGAACTCTGACGGAGTTTAGAGAGAATTTAGCGTGAAACATGGCCAAATAAGCGTTACGTATTGTATGTATAACTAATTAATGAGCTATTGCATGTCCGTTTATCTATATTTATACATTCTTTATAATTCTCAAAAAACGCTTTGAGTTGGTTTCTTTTTTATTTATTGCGTCTTTGCAACACTTTCTCTTAACCATTCTTGAGCTTTGCATGAATTTGAGTAATCCTTTAAATTTGTTTTTTGACTGTCACGCCGCAGTTAATTCTTAAAGACAAAAAAATAGAACTTTTTTTTGCTTTCGCCTCAACCCCTTCAGTCAGGGGCTCGGCGTCGCTAGTAATCTGGGTTAACACACGGTCGCCCGTCCAGTAACCCGTGTCCGAATTGCTTAACTTGTGTTACTTCACGGAGCCCAGGGAAGTAATTCGGCTAACGTCGCCGGTTCAATTCTAATAACTAATGTTTATTCAAACCCGGAAATAAAACGAGTACACACTCCCAAACATTCGTGGCCAATTCCAAAGTGATGCAAGAAAAATCGCAAAAAACGGCAGACGAATGTAAAATCCCAGTCCGACAAGATGCGCGCGCACATGTTGAAACATGTGGCGGAACACAGAACGCGGAAGGTTAATGTGGTATAAAAACGCCGCAATGGATATGTACGAGTGAATGCTACGATTTGACGCCTGTGGAAAGAAACTCATCTCGAATTGCATTTCTTTTTTAAATCTGTAAACCTTTTCTAACGTTCCACCTGTACTATACTGGCGCATCTAAAAATTTGAGGGGGGGGGCATTAGTATGAGCAACGTACAATTTTTGTTGAATATTTTTCTATAAATGGCTTCCAGGGACCAGGAGGAGTTGTCAATGATTGCACGCATCAAATGTTGCTGGATTTTATCGACAGAAATGTGACTCCCACACTAAAGATTTCATTGACTTACAATCACAAAAAACAGCAAATAAAAATAGTGACTAGCTCTGATTAAAAATGTGACGTGTGAAAAAAAGTCTTGTAGTTTCACTATCTGCGCACTTTTTCTCGAGCTCTATGAGGTGTAAGTGGAGAGTTCAGTTGCATTTATCTGTACTACCATCAAATAACATTAGTTTGTTTTCCGGTGTAAATAGTTTTCATTAAACGGAAATTAATATTTCTTGTTCTCAAATGTTGCCAGTGCTCAGATTGTAATTTTCATACAAACGTTAGATGGAAAATTAGACTCTGGTAAACCGAAAAATCGTAATCTTTTACCCCACAATGCGCCAGTACCTGCTTGTTCTCACATTCTACAGGTCCTGTGCACTTTAATGTCACTGGATAATCTGTTTTGTTTTACTTTTTTGTGTTTAAGAATTAATAATTTCTTAAGGAAGACAAACCTGCACGTTCTATGGGACTATTGGATTCGGCATTGAAAGCGAAAACAAGTCCTATCGATTAGTCCTAGTATTAAGAAGTGCAAGAGTTCGCCAAGGCTACTGAGCGTTTTGAACAGTTCCGACTCTTCAACGTCAGATGTTACAGACTTTTTGAGGTTTATTAAACATCCTCATGGTAGAGAAGGGAAGCAATACAGGCATTTTATTCATTATTTCACATTTCATTAAAATGTGTTCAAGACCCATTTGCGTACAAAATAATTACATTATCTCTTCATTGCATAATGTTTTTAGGTAGTAACTCAAAAATGGAAATATATCCGTACCATTGTTGCAACTTATAATTTATAGCAATCATATGTTTCATGTATTATCGACCATCACATATTTTAAAATGAAAGTATGAGATAAAGAGAAGTTTCTATTAGAGATTTATTTAATCACTCTCCCCCTCACTCACATAAAAAAGACACTGCACAAATCTCAAAAACTTGCATTGGAAATAGGAAGCAGTAACAAACATTTTGAAATAGAGACAAAAGCAAGCTGCATAAACATCCACCCCCTCAAAAAATTACATTCACTATTTAAAGAAAATAACGTGAAAAGGAAGATCCTTTATAATCATTTATTTGAAATGCCAGCGTTACAAAATATCGCTCACCTTTGGTTTCGTGACGTATGACAAAAAATTCTGCTTACGACACTAAAGCAGACCCTTCCGTTACCTCCAGGCTGCGAATTGACATTTTTCTCCAGGGGATGAATGCGACGCATGGAAGTAAAAAGATTGTATTCCCTTACGATTATACGTACTGATTTAACAAGTCTTAAGAAAGCCGCTGGGAATGTTTTGTTCTAGTTTCTGTGTTTAGATTTCTTAATTTGTACAAGTCAAGCTCAGGAATCAGTGGAGGGGATACCTAAATCTGGATTAATTGTGAGGCTGGGACAAATAAGTACTTTTAAGCACGAGAAACAAAATCTCAATGAGGGAGAGGGCAATCTTTGGCGTCCCTTCCCCGCCAAATACACACCCAGAATGCGACAGAAAGTATCCGAGATTCCGCGAAATTACCAGGAAAATAAAAATCTGGTGGTGACAGTCAAGCAGCCGGCCCCAACAGTCGTCACCACGTGAGAGCTGCAGCGAGCTTTCGTCGCGAGGGGGACCAAACCCCGCTCTCTCGCACGCGTGCCGGCTCGCCCACGCGAGACGCCCGCCCAAGGCCGAGGGCACCCGAAAGACCGCCCGCGCCCACGCTCGCGCCCGCCGCCCGGCCAGCCAGCCGGCCTGTCCTCCTGCCGGCCGGCACGGCGCTTCTGGGGGCGTAGGACTCGGATTGCAGTCAATCGGGGTTGGAGGCCGGCTGCCACGCACCTGCGAGGTCGATACACCCAGGGCGTAATCTCTCCCTCGTGCCGTGGGCGAAATCAAGAAATCGATTTCGTGTGCGCGCACTGCAGAAGGCCGGCGAACTTTTGGAACAACAGGTAGCAAACGGTATTCTGCCAGCGTTTATGCACCGAAACCTCCGCTGACCGAGTGCTGTGAGGGTTGGGAGGAGGCCGGGGAGGACGTACGCGAGATTCGCTCGAGCGCCCGGCTGAGAAAACAACGACTGCTCAGACACGCATTACTGCTCTTCTCGCACCAATAACGGAGGAAAGCGTACTCCCTTCGCGTGCGTCAGGAAATGAAACAAAACACGTTGATGGTTTCGATTGTCATTTGCATTCCAAGCAGACAACCGTGTTTTCAAAACCCATTCTAACTTAAAAATCGATCGACGGACAGGAGAGTAGCTTGTCGACAACACACTTGTCACTCGTCACAAAACTTCTAAGGTTTAAATGTTAGTATACCTGTATCGTATCCCCTGAATACATTTTATACAAGTGTGCATTGTCGCCCTCCTTCCAATAAAGGGAAAACCTTTTCAAAATTTCGTGACAATGCCTTCTCGCATCGTCCGGAGACATCAATACATAAACATCGGCTGATCGCAGAAAAATAGATATGTTCGAATGAATAAAAGTGAAGTAATGATGTTCTTACCTGACAGCCACTCGTACGCAGGTATCTTCGTCCCCCATCGTGAAGATATTTCACACAAAAAGGAAGCAAAATAAGATAAAACACAATAACCGATAAAAGTATTTTTTTATGATTGGTTAATATTTAAAAAATTAATCATTTAAGAGCTTTAAAACTTATGCGGTCAGACGAAGAGGTATTCATCCAAATGAAAACGCGTCTTCTTCATCCTGCACACGAAGCTGTGGGTCAGCGCGTTACCCACCCGCCGCACACGCAAACGCCAACTGAGACTGAATGAAGCATCATGGTAACTCCTTGCAACGTTCATGCTACGGCCGATAGAGCGTAGCACATGCCTTCGTAGCAACGCACTCTTTAGATCATACAGTTTACTAAATACCGAGCAACCATTTCAAAAAACTGATATATAAACCATTAAGAATATACCTCTCTGATATTGAGGAGAGTGCATGTCTTCTGAGATAAAAACAAGGAAGAATATGGAATAAACTCAAAGTAATGCACGAAGCTGGCACGAAGCTACCATTGCTTACTTGGCCAACCCTTTACTAACAATCCCATTGTTCTTCCCTGCAATAACAAATTTTTAAAACTCCCAATCACAATTTCAAAAATATTTTATGGATTTTTCGATTGAAAATCTATGAACTTCATTAAATCAAATAATAGGCGAAATTAGAAAAAGTTTAGCATCACTTGGTAAAAAAAGGCCATTTTCCATTCATCATTTTATCTCTACAGCTACAGCTACCTTCAATATATACCCAACTTTCTGCTGCAAAAATTTAAACCTTGAAAGATTTTAATTATTTTGTCTCTGTACTCTCCGTAAGTAGGGAATCATGAAAATATTTTAAAGATTTCTAAAATAATAAAATATTCTGGATCCAAAATGTTTATTTTGAAAGAAGTAAGGAACTCTTCACAAACATTTTTGACTGAATTTGTAAGTATAAATAATCCAAGTACACAAATAAAATTAAGTAAACATGCATTTGGCAGGGCACTGAGTGTTAATGCAATTTGGATGAATACTGGTAGAAGAACCTCCATTTTTTTTTTTTATATGGCTCATTTTTTAAATAGTATCATATATCAATAGATACATAGGCAAAATTTACTGCACATTAGACACTTGCTCAATATCTGAATTATCTTCCAGTACAAACAATTTATAAAGATTCCTCAATTTCATAATCACAAAAGCACAAAAATAGTCCTTCATAAACATAAATAGCAAGATTTTACATATCAATTCATACAAATAAGTTTTCTATAGAAAATAATACTACACAAATTGACTAACAAATCCCATAGTTTTATGAAAAGGAACAGATCAAAATTCATAAAAGTTGGCAAAAGGAATACAACAATTTTTCATTTTTGAACATTTACAAATATTACATTGTCAGGCATTTAAGGAGTTTTGCTAAACACTCCTTCAATAATAAAAATTACCTTTTAGAACATTTCTTTCAATCAAGTAGACCTTTGTTCAACCTTAAATCTTACAAAATATTTCATAATGGCAGTCATGGATCATATTCATGTTCTGCATTCAACGAAAAATATATAACCAATATTTAAGAAGAAAAAAATTCACACTTATTAAATACTTTCCAAATCATAAATATTCTTGATTAAAATTACAATACTTATTATGTACTCAAAACAAATTATCCAAAATTCAACTCAAATTATTTCAGTTTCAAAAACCTTTTAGGTTTCTGGTTTCTTGAAAATTACATCTGGTTTCTTGCAAAAAATATCAAGTTACAATAGTTTTAAGTTCTATACAATGAATAAGAAAAATAGCTGCTAATCCTACATGTAATTAAAATACATTACACAAAAAATTGAGGTAACTATTGTATCACGAACATTTTGACAAGAAAATAATCCTAAAACTACTTAAACATACTGTCACAAATCTTCAATACCTATCATTCCTTTGCTTTAAAAATATACTCTGAATTAGGTTAACATGTGATACTTTAACCAGCAATTACACAGATTATACCTACCATTAATACTATACTAAATTTAAATTTCTTTTGCACACTTACAATTCTTCTCTAAGATTTTGTATAACCTAAATCTTGGTGATGTATTCAAATTGAAAAGTAAAAATACAAATTATCTTGTTGTAGAGTAATCTTAAAATGTAATGTCACAGTTATTTAGGTTACATTGCATTAGACTATATCCCAAACATTCTAAAAATGCTTCTTGTAGTAATACTCAAACTATAGATAAGCATGAATTTCCAAAATAGGAGTGCAACATACTATGTTTAAATGTAATTATGCATTTCTGAAATCTAAACATAAGACGTCATCCATTAGGAACTTAAAAAAACAACAACTACATTTCTAAATTATTTTGAAATTAGTTAACAGCATTTTTAAGAGCACAAGATGATACAAAAAACAGTTGCAAGTAAATTCATTAGCACAGAAATAACAATGACAAATATTGCTTGATACCTTGAGTTGATATAGGATCCCTGCACCCGAAGTTATTCTATCATGCATTCAAATGTATCACATAACATAATATCATTAGAAGGCTCACTACTCAAAAATTATTTTTTTTTAAAAAAGACCAAAAACTAGTAATTTAACCAGAGAAATAATGTCTTTAATAGAAATCACAAATTAGTGATATCACAGGAAAATTCTTCCTTTTCTTATAAGTAGGATAATTTCCCAGGATAGTTCATTCATCCAGCCAAATCCTCCATTAGGTTAATGATAAGGCCTTCATTTATGTCAAAAAGACATGAACTTCTCCTTAGGAATAATGATGTTGCTAATAAACTGACTCCCAGAATTTGAGATTATTCCAAGAGTCAAGAACATTAGCAACATACTTTAACCTCAGCAACCAGTTTTCTCAACACTAAGACCAGACGCTTTGGAAATCTTCAAAGTAGTAAATATTTCAGCGCAAGTTGGATGAATGCCTATCAAATTATCAAAATCAGCTTTCTTGGCAGCAAGTTTCAATCCAATTGCAAATCCTTGAGTAATTTCACCAGCATCAGGACTTAGAACATGAAATCCAACAACACGTTCCCCATCACTTTTCACACATATTAATTTTGCATAACAGACATTAGGATCTCTGTTACTCAAAACATACTCCAGTGGCTGAAAGTAACTGTGATATACTTCTATGTCATCTTCCCCATATTTGTTCTTTGCATCTTCTTCTGAAAGACCCACACAACCATATTCCAAAGGAGTGAAGACTGTTGTCGGTACATTTGTATAATCTGTCAATACTTTCTGTTGTCCATACAGTCGCTGTGCCAACAAACGACCAGCTTGAATAGCAACAGGAGTCAGCTCTAATTTACCATCCAAAACATCTCCAATAGCAAAAATATTACGAACGGAGGTCTGCTCGCTTTCATTGGCAATTATTTTTCCATTGCTCTTATTTACTTCTACACCCACCTTATCAAGACCCAAATCTCCAGTGCAAGCATCACGGCCCACAGCAAAGAGCACAGTGTTGAATTCAGTAGTAATCTGTTCTCCATTGTTCATTTTTGCAGTCACTCTTAACAATCCTGGAGCATTAGGTGAACTAGGTTCTTCAATTCTTTCTATTTGAAGAGGTACACATCCTTTGATGAATTGTACTCCATGCTTTTCCATGTGTTCACCAATCATTTCTGCCATTTGTTGATCAAAACCTCTGAGGAAGATCGATCGAACCATCACAGTAACTTCTATTCCAAAGCCAGCAAGGAAACCAGCACATTCTAAAGCAATGTATGATGCGCCTACTATTAAAGTTTTTCCTGGTCGATAAGGAAGAGAAAACAAGTCGTCAGAAGTGATGCCATATTCAACAGCTCCTGGAATTTGAGGATAACGGGGTCTGCCACCAACAGCAATGATTATATTCTGAGCAGTAATTTCTTTCTTAACATTTTTCTTATCAGTTAAAACAACTTTATGAGGATCTGAATCAACAAACTGGGCATACGCATTCAAGTAGGTGACAGATTTTTCTCTCAAAACTTTACGGTATCCAAAATTTAGAGACTTAACATAATTTTGGACTTCTTCAACCATTTTTTCCCAATTGTGATGAACCTCGTCTGGCAACATCCATCCAAAGTAAGTACCATCTTGCAATGTGTGTCCAGTAAGAGCGGCTCTATGCATTAATTTCTTTGGAATGCAGCCAACATTTACACAAGTTCCACCCAGACCCCAAGTAGTACCTTGCGGGGACGGCTTCACAAAATCGCACACTGCAACTTTTTTACCCAACAACGCCGCCTCTTTGGATGCTGCTAATCCTCCCGAGCCTCCTCCTATTATCAGAAGATCATAATCATATTCTCTCGCTGTGTTCTGCAGTAAATCAAACAATTTACCGTCGGCATGGGCTTGAAGTGTGCTATCGCAACCTCCGACGTGATTCGCGTTAATAAAAACATTAGGCACAGTCTTCTGGTTTGTTTTTTCAATCAATGCAGCTTGAATGGCATTGCCTTCTTCTCCCATCAAATCTAACTCCAATGCATTGTATTCGACATTCAGCGACTTGAACAGATCTTTCACTCTATGACAAAATGGGCAATACGATTTGCTGAAGATCACAACACGATTGTCAGCTACGATCTGGTCCACAAACGCTCTCTTGTCGGCAGAAGTCATGATTGAGTTGTTACATTTACACGCCGTTGTTACAAACACGCTGATACAACTCTACTAGCGGAACTGCACAAACGTGGACTGTACCACTTATATATTTGAGCAAAAAGTGCTTATTCACACAGCGTAAGCGAAGATATTTTTACCCCCCCACTCTTCTTCCTCTGGCCTTCAGTGCGTCACCGTTGAGGTTAGTTTACCATTAAACCAACTCATAGATCGAATAGTATGCCTTTCTCTCTGCTACGACTGTCTGCGAATACCGATTTCCCGATTCCTGCCCCGATCTCTCGTACAAAACGACCTTCAGGCGTGTTTTACATTAAATGAGACACAGACTTTCTATAAATTACATAAAGCTCCCATTTCATACGAGACATTCCTTTTCGGAGTTTAAATTATTGATTCAGTTATTTGCTTCTCAAAATTTGCTTTAATATGTTCATTTTACTGTTTCGAGGTATTTTTGCTGCTGCCAAATAATCTAAATGGTATCTTGCAATGCAATGCAATGCAAACACAATTGATGTTCATTTTCTTCTCCAGAAGTGTTGCCAATATAAATATGGATATTCTTTAAAAATCAGTACTGACAACAGTATGGTGCGGTGTCATGAAATTGAATAGAAATTTCTAACACGTCCAAGACTGTTCCAAATTCTCGTTATTTTTCTCAGTACAATGTTGCAAAAAACTAATACTTTATTAAAATGCTTGGTAAGACAATTTTATTTAGTGTTAGTTAAAGTTATAAATTCTATTGTTAAAATGTATTGTTGTTTAAGTAATATATTGTAGGTAATAAGGTATTGAGATTGTTAAGTCAAAGGTAAAGTGTGTGCCACTTATGCTAAGTATGTTTAATTACATTATATGTGTTACTAATTATTCATGCTCTTGTTTCGATTCAAATACTTACCACAGTTGCAAATGAGGTTAAACAAAGTTCCCACAAGTAGGAGTATTTATACATCACGTATTAGGAACAGGCCATTAGTTCCTATTGTGGTTGAACAAACTGGCCGTGGAGAAAGAGCCTATGACATTTATTCAAGACTGCTTAAAGAACGCATAATATGTGTGATGGGACCTGTAAGTATTTTAGATATTAAATCTGGTAATATTCACAACATAAAAGTTGAAAGTATAAAAATGCAATGATTAATGGATATTGCTATATGGACTGCTATTTTTGAAGGCCAATTCTCAACATTTTGTTCTGAATTTGTGTATGTAACACTGCTTTCCTTCTTTTCTTAATTGCACTTTTTCAATCAGAATTTTATGTTATACTTTTAGGTATGGTAATGAAAAAAAAATGTTTCTTTTCAGGTATCTGATGATTTGTCATCTGTAGTTGTTGCTCAGCTTCTATTTCTTCAGTCTGAAAGTAGCAAGAAACCAGTACATATGTACATTAACAGGTGAATGTTTTGTTGTATAAATATCAATTAGGTTCAATGAATGTGTATGTTTCAACAACTGACATTTAATTTTCTTGATAGCCCAGGAGGAAGTGTAACAGCGGGATTAGGAATATATGATACTATGCAGTACATCTTACCTCCAATAGCAACATGGTGTGTAGGTCAAGCATGCAGTATGGCAAGTCTTCTATTAGCTGCTGGTGCTCCAGGCATGCGCCATTCTTTGCCTAATGCTCGAATTATGATTCATCAGCCTTCAGGTGGTGTACAGGTAAAAAATTGTCTTTGAAGATGATATTATTATTAGTAAAATTTAAATAATTCTAAAACATGGATTTTGGACAAATTAACTCATCTTTTTAGAGTAATTTGTAAATTAATTTTTTTATCGCTGTGGTTAAAGAAATTATGCGGATTTATTCCTTACACAGGACGTGTTAATCGTAAATTCTAGAAACACTATTCAGTTTTTATTTGGTTAATTTTCCATTTTAATCTTCATCTGAAAATTGTTTTAAATACTGGTATGGTATCTTTCAACATCGTACTTGGCTATGTTCATAATTCGACAAGTATTGTAAAGAAGTTCAATATTTTGGCAGTGAAAAAATGTTCTGAATTTTTCTTAAAAAGAAATTTTATTACAAAACCCACCACTCGTGTTCTTGGATATAACGAAGTTGACAATCCTCATGCATGATCCAAAGTATTTTAGAACTATTATTATAGTTTGTTTGGACATAATTTCAATGCAGTGTGGTCCCTATGTTTAAATTGTAAAATTTCTTGGACAATTGAATCAAACTTTGAAAAATGCTAGAAAATTTAAAGAAACAACAACAACATAATGTATAAAAACTCTTCTAAAAACTAAAGTTCTTGTTCATGATTTGTGCAGAAATTAAGAGTGTACACAAAACACAATTAACACAAGCCATGCTATTAAAATTTGGTTCTTTGAAAATAAAATTCATAATAAGTGACCAATCTTCATTTTTCCTCTATCAATTAGCAGGAAAAAATGTAGAAGGACCTGTTTCTACATACGAAAGAGGAACAGTGGCTAATTAATTTCAAGTTAGATCACAAAGAAAAAGTGTCAACTCAATTCAAAAATATAATTTTTTAAATTAAAAATGACTTCTTTGTAGACTTATTGAAAATAAAGGGAAACTATATTCATATTTATAATAGTGAAGACACTATTAACGGCCTCCTTGTCATGTCCCAGTATCTGTTTCTGTGTGACAATGAGCAAGATCACTTCTCAGGTGCAGGGATATCTAACCACACATACCCCTTAACCCGTGGCCGTAAGACCAGGACGCTGCTGGTAGGACTTAGCCTGTAAGAAGTTATTGTGCTTAAGTACCTACATACATATTTAGAGTTAAATGTTACTTATTGTTTAGTATAGAGGTAAGAAAAATTGTTTCAAATCTGATTTACCATGTGCTCTGATCTAGAAATATTCTACATCTAACTTAGCAATTACATTAAGTTGTTTAAATAGGGAAGAGTGAGATAAATAATTTCATCCATGAAAACATCACTGTATCATTAGAGAAATGAAGTGAATTACAAATAATACTGGACTGAGGGGAATTCGAAGAGCAACATTTGGACTGTGACATATCCTCTTGTCTTTTTTCAATTTAAAAAAAAAAATAGAGCAAGAATTTTAAATTTTACAACACTTGTAATCCAAATGAAAATATTACTTAATGTTTGGTAAAATATCTCATGTTTTTCCAGTAAGTAAAATTCAAGACAATAATAACAGTAAAACTACATTTTCACCAGTAGCCAGCTTACCTTTTAAATTGTGTGTTTGTGCCAGCTGGTAGGTGTGAGATAATTAGACCTAACCAAGGAAAAAACTTAGTAAGGACCACTTAAGAGGAGATGCAGAAAGAGTTCCGTTTTCCCCCCTGATTATTTAGGTCATGTGGAAAATGTTATCTTACTATTATAAATTTAATTTTATTAGCATGATTCCAATCTTTTCAATTGATATAAACAGCCTTTCATTAAGGTTTTTTTAACATTAAAATTAACATAAATTAAAACTTCAAAATCCTGTTGTGTGATTGTATAGTATTTTGTTGTTGCTATTGATGCTTTTGGTTTGTTTGTTTTTAACTTTCTATCTTATCCACATAGTTTAAAGGGTCATTTATGCTATAAATTGATACCAAATTGAGCAGAATTCTTGAAAAAACATTCACTCTCATTGTTTTTTAGGGACAAGCTACAGATATTCAAATACAAGCAGAAGAAATTATTAAGCTGAAAAAACAAATTAATGGATTGTATGTAAAGCATACTGGCCTTCCTTTGGAGAGAATTGGTAAGTTTGGTATTTATATATCTTATAAAGGAGTATGAATCAGAAATATGTATTTTAACCCTATATGAAGCCAAAACGTAATTCTCAAACATTTACAAGAGAAATAATGGTGTCTTATTTTTATTAGATAATGCATTGGTATGTGGAAAAAGAAAGCACAGTCTTGCAATAGTGCATTTATACAGACATCCATTCAGAAAGATTATTTATTAAAAAGTCAGTAGGTTTTGTGTCCAAGACCTGTACCTCAGTTAAAGTGGACTGCTAAAAATTACACTGTACAATATTTGGGTTAAGCAATATTCAACAATATACATTAAAATTTATTTTGCATAATTTCAAATGCCTTGTTTTCATATGCCATGATTACTTTTTTTTTTTTTTATGAATGGCTGTGTTCATACAAATTCAAAATATCTCAAAGCTTTACTCTTCTGTAATTACTTACATATGCAACTTGTTTGTTATTTATATATAATTGCTCTTTGGCAACAGTATCACCAAGCTACTTTATAAAACAATTCGAATCATATTTCAGAACTGAGTAATTTAAACTTATGATTTTTAGGAATATCTTGATTAGAATGTTATGCAAAGCGGTGTTGTAAATGTGGTAATAATTTCAAGATGTATGAGTAATTACAATGAGTTATGAGTGTGTGATTTAAATTACATTATCTTTTTTTTATGTATCGGGTCTAGTTTTATTTATGTTTTCATTGCATTTCTATTCCAGAGCAAAGTATGGAGCGCGACAAATTCATGTCTCCTCAAGATGCAAAGGAATTTGGTATTATTGATAAAATATTAGATCATCCCCCCAAGCATGGGGAAAATCAACCAGATCGGGATGTGTGTACGACACAAAGTCTTCATGTTAATTAAACTAAAATTACAATTTTATAAAATATGGGACATTTGTGTTTATAAGTAATGATGTGGTGTGTTGTTGTTATTGTATTTTTTGTTTATCGACAGTGATTTGTTTCATATCAAAATACATGTACACAGAATTTTGTAAGTCATTTAAGAACAATGTGGTTTTTTTTTATTATCAGGTGGACCTATTCGTAAAATCTTGTTTTTGTAAATATATTAATATGTTTTTATTAATAAATATTTTAAAGGTACTTTGGGATTTGTATTATTTACAAGCTTTTCAAATATATTATTCATTCCATGATTATATAATCTAAGTATAATAAGGAACATAATAACCTTTTTAATTGCCAACTTGCATCATGTTTTCAAATCACTTTCTTTCTTTCTTATACCTGAGGAATTATCGGGTTCTTTACTTTTTCATGTCAAAAGCAGATAGCATTTTGTGCTGAAAAAATAAAGATGTTTTGAATAAGGTCAATTGTTTAGTTAGGTTTTGTTAATTTTTTTTAAACATTTTAGGAATAGGATTTAATTATTCTCCCTTTACTTTTTTTTTGAAAATATTCAAAATACGGTAACATAAAGCAATATGATTTGCTGATTCGTTAAATATGCTTTCAATTAAAAGCCATTCTTGTGTTTGAATAATTACATATTACTAATTTTACATACATACTTAAAATATGAATGTAAGTACTTGAAAGTGAAAACAAATATATATTGTGCATAAATGTTTCTGTCTTCAGCAATAATTTTTCATTGTATTTACGGCTAGTACTACATACCCACATCTTTTTTTTGTGAGAACTGTTCCATTTATTTATAAAATTAATGTCAAAAAAAATGTTACAACTGTATGTGATGTGTGGGAGAAAAGCTTAATCTGTGCATGTTGTCTTGAATCCCAAAACTCTCTCTTCTGCTATACATTATGAACAAATGTAGTAACAAGGATTAGTCATTACTATTTGATAACAAGAAATATATACTCCTGTGTTATTGAAACTATTTGCATTTGCAAATATTGTACAGATTTTATTTGATGACATAAATTAACTCCCTCCCATAGAGATCCAGAAAATGCGTGCAGAGAATGAAGCCACATTAACTGTTGCAAAGCAAGGCAATGAACCACCTCAACATTTGTGCAATAGACCAAGTGGACAAAAAACTTATATTTTGTTCACGTCATTGATCTAGAAGGTGAAGTTCAATACTTATAGGCATATTTAGTTGTTTTTTTTAAGGATTATTTTTGTCCAGTACAATTGGTAACTAAAGCATTAATATCATTGTTAAAATAAATATTACTTGATTGATGTATGATAGTACTCTACACATTGTAAATCATCGTTTTAAAAGTGAAAATAGCTTCATACTGGAGCCTTACTTTGAATAACTAGTCCCTGAGCTGCACCCAGCATTTAACACTTCTGGATTATGCACAAGTAAATGTTCTAATATTGCTTTTCACAGAAAATTAAAGTCAGATAATTTTATAACCTAAAATTATTGCTCTCTCTATTCCTTCAATTTAATTCTTTTTGCACTTTAAATGCAGTTAAATACATATCATAGAAGAGCTAAATTTTCAAAAATGTAATAGGTCAAAAAAGTATCTTTTTCTAGATAACTCCTTAAGAAATGTTACTTGGACTCCATGTGTTCCCCCATCTTCCCTACTTGTGCCACAACATTCCAACATATCCTCCCAAAATTCCTGATCTCATAAAAGTTGTGCGTCATTTTAAAGGTTGTTATTAGGCCTAGGTCAAATTATTTTCGATTGATGGTCCATTGTAATATATGTTGTAGTAATCTATTCTGTGTTGTTGTTTTTTTTATTCTCTCTGTCTGAATTTGTCTTTTGTCGTTTTGTTTGTTTGATGCAGGACTGGGGAGGAATTTCTCACCCAGCAGTAGCAATTTTCCAGTGTTTTGTGTTGATGGTTTCTGATAAATTTAAGGAAGCTGTCAAATATCCTTGAGTATTATACATAAAGAGGATCTTTGTTTTTGATGTTCAGTTAAGTCTCTCAGAGTATAGAAACATTTTGCAGCTGAAAAGATTTAACTAGGTATTTCTTGAACTTCTTGTAAAGTTTGACCTGTTTAATGTCATTTGACAATGTGTTGTAAGAAACATGTGTATTGTATGCAAGTTCTTGCAAGGAGCTGATGAAAATGTTTTGTACATTGTGTATTGCAGTATTTATTATCTATAATTATTGTAGATATCAACCTTTGGGTCAGTCAGTTTTGTCAAAAAACTTTGAATGAAGAGGTAAGGCAGTGTTAGGCTTCCAATCTCAATAAAGAGATGCGGGAATCCCATGGGTGGGTTTCGCTTATTATCAGTGCAAATATTGTTTTGAAATCTAATACACTTCAAACTATTTGGATGTGTTTCCCCAGAATATATAAATGGTGGGAATGTATGTTCCCAAAATATATTCAATAGTTGTATGGAAGCTTACTCCAGAGGCAGTTATATTATGTAACCTGATATAGGTAAAGAGGCTATTAGTTTAAGATGCAAAATGCCTTTCATTTTGTTGTGCATTAAAAACAAAAACAAAAGCTAGTGATGCTACAATATCTTGCAAATCACTTTTCAACTGCTTGAATGTCAGTGTACTATTTCCATTTCATAACATTTACTTAGTCCCAAATCATTCAGAAAATATATATTATGGGTAAATATGTTGGCAACAATCTGTTTATCAATCCTTAATCTGCACAACTGAATGAAACTCAACAAAAATTTGTTGCTATTGTAACAATGTTCCTATATCTTTTCAGCTTTAAATACACTCAAATTCCCACATCCAAAAATTAACATTTTCCTTAAACTGCACACTAAAAAAAAAGTAGAATACTATTCTTAGAAAACATTTCAATTAATATGGCTTTCTAGTTTTGTTGTAATAAAATTCATATATTAAACATCTAGAGAATTTGTCTAAAAAATAAATATGCATTTGTACATATAGGTATTTTTTCATGTTATCTTCCTTTTATTAACTGAATATTGTATTAAAAAAAGGCTTAACAGAATATCTTAAAAGAGCTGTTACTCATTTCACATGAAAAGTTAAAAGAAAATAATTGGAGCCATTTTCTAGAAAATGTTCAGCTTTTTTGATAATTACCATTTTTCTTAGTACCTTTTCTCAAAAACTTCTGTGATTTTGAGAAACTCTCAAAAACTTTTGTGATTTTGAGAAGCTATATGAAATCATTTATCCTCTCTTCACTCAAAAATTGTCTCTAATATTTTTATATGCATCACTAATTTAAATTATCATACATTTTAATATATATAACAAATAAAATTATACATATTTTCCGTTGTATAGTGTATTGTTACTTATTGTAAATGGGAGGGGGAGTCTGAGGCATGCAAGTACAGAAAAGTCTGTCTAAACCGGAACCTGTACAAATATGAAACCTGCCATAACCCGAAAATTTCTCCTGTCTGTGAAGTTAAATGATATTTAACACGGAACCTGCCCCAAGCGGAAACCGAAGGGTTTTGAATGACCTGCAGCGAAAGAAAATCTTACAAAACGGAATTTCTGGGAATTTAATGCAATTGGCAGAGGGAAGCGGTTTAGATTTTATTGTATTTAGGGGGGTACAAGCGCGGGTTACAGGGGGAAAGGAGATATTCAAAATTTGCGTTACGTAATTCTTGGAGAGGCCTTGGGACTTTACCTATTCTAAACTAGTGGTGCTACACCAGCACATACCTTCTCGCAATAGTACAATGTTATTGTTATGTACGACAGGACGCCCATACATTTCATTAATTTCAAACATATTACGCGAAAAATATTAATTTTTACAAAAAATCGTACATGCCTCTTTGTAAAGAGCTAATTTTGTACAACACACTTGGTCTGTAACAACTCTCTATCTTCTATTTTGTAATTTTGAATTATTTTTGCTATATTCAAAAGAACGAGCAATACCCGAAAATCAGACTGGCACTATATTTTTTACCGTTTGTTGTTACATACGTGGAGAAAATTTAAAGAAAACTTGGGAGCGGTTTTTGAGAAAAATTGTGTAAATTTCAAACGCAAATTACGCAAAAAATTTTTTTTTAAATTGTATATGGTCTTCTTTAAAGAGCTAATTTTGTACAACAGACTTTGTCTGACGCAAAAATTTCTATCTTCAATTATGTTGTTTTAAAAATTATTTTTGGAATTTTCGAAAAATCGATGATTTTAACGAAAATGAGAGATGGGAAATCCTCTTAAACGTCCTTCGCACTATTCAACAGTAAAATTTAATCAAAAAATTTGGAGCCATTTTTTTAAATGTCTAAGGGACTACATGTAAAGCATCCCCCATAATTAAAATATCGGTTTCAACTTCTAGGGGCCGATACATCTTCCGAACGATTGGGGGAATATCAATTTTGGAGAAAATCCGCAGAACGGTTTATGCCCTAGTGTTGTGCACAGACAGACGGACAGGCAATCGTATTGCCGTCAACCGATTTTTCGTTATGAAGCAGGGGCGGATCCTGAGACGAATTTTGGGAGGGGACATTGTTTTATTCAAAATGTTTTGGTTGAATGTTTCATATTACAGATTATGTAGAATGACACAGGCCAAACTCAGCTCACGTTACGATACAATTTTATTCGTTTTAATGTTTATACAAAAAATATTTTTACTTAAAAGTTTCCTGACAAGTTAAAATAAATAGTTTCTTAAAAATTTTGGGAGGGGAAATTTCCCTCATTTCCATCCCCGTTGATCCGTGTATGTATGGAGGAAGCTCATAACATGGATTCTAGCTATATCACGTGTTAGAGAATTTGTTTTCTATATTTAGCAGCTGGATTCTTTTATTACCAAGGCCCGACAATAAGAGTTTTTGTGTCGAAAGTTCGCCGTTTCCCGGTACTGGATTACAATACTTTCTCTTCGTACGTTAGTAAGTGCGAGAAAGTAAAAACTATCATTGGTCACTTTCCGTGACATTACAAACTGTGTACACGAGCAAACCTATCTTTAAACTCGCATACGAGGACGGATAGGACGAAAAATGAACAACTGATCAATGCGCAAAGCGCAATACCTTACAAGTGACTTGTGATTCATCACCCACAATCTGTTAAGGCGGCTCCACACATTCGGCTTTCGCCAAGTTGCTAGCGACAGCTCGCCCAATCCTCAGCAGCGGATGTGCTCGGCGAATGTTCGCTTCCTTGGACGAGTGCAAAAA